TGTGCACCCCAACGGGGCCACCCTGCTGCCTCCCTGAGCCTGGACCTGGGAACATAGGGGACGCTATCAGAGACCCACCTGGGCCCCTCGCACTCAGTCTCTCCCAGGACAAACCAGGAAGACCACCCTGAGTTGACGCTGAGGGGCCTGGGCAGCCTGAGCAGAAGATGGGGACAGGGAGTCAGGACTCACCTGGGAACAAGGGCACGGAGTCCCCCAGGCCTGGGAGGCTCAGGAACAGCAGCCACAGCATCTGTGGGGATGGCAGGGGCCTGGGTGAGACCACCAGGGCCCGGGGTCCCCGTGTGGGGATGGAGAAGCCGGGGTCTGAGCAGCGGCATCCTCACCTGGAAGGACCCTCCTAGGGACCCTCTCTGAACCCTTTCATCCCCTGGCACAGGAAGGGCAGACAGAGACCACCTGGCTGGGCCATGGGCAGAGAGAGCTGCTCCTCTCTCAGGCCCGCCCCAGGTCACGGGGGGTCAGTCAGCAGACAGTGAGGAGCTGCTGCTGGGCCCTGACACTGCCTCCCCTGGACCTGCCACCTGCTGTCACTGGGCAGCAGCCATCTCTGGCTGCACGGATCTCAGCCACAAAGCACAGCCAGGCCGGCGGCCTGAGCAAGGAGAGCTGCCAAGAGGGTGCAGTTTTGCTGGAAGAAGCCCCGGAGCGCTGCGCCCAGGCAGTCGGGCCCAGGGAGGCAGAGCCCCAGAGCTGCTGCTGGGCCCCTCGAGGCACAGGGCAGCCCCTGAATCCGCTGGACCCAGTGAGGCAGTGTGGAACTCGCCACCATCTGACTACAGCATGCCATCCTCCTGGCACGTGGCCTGGGGCCACCCTCACTGCCACCAGCTGAGGCCCTGCACACTCCCCTCTGCTGGGGGCTCTCCCGAAGCTGCACTGAGACGGGCTTTCTTGTGGGTACAAGTCAGGGAGAGGCACCTGGGAGTCCCCTGCCACCAGTTGCCTCCCTGTGCGTGGGGTGCAATCGCTTGATTGGCCTGGGCTTCCCTCTGCGAGCTGATCGCTGGCCGGCCCTGCACAGCTGGCCCTGCACACCCACCACAGCGTTGCTGGCTGGTGGCCTGGGCCTCCCTCTGCAGGGCTATCGTGGGGTGATGATGGGGCCCCCTGACCAATCGTATCACATCTGCCTTGGCTGGCCTGGCACCAGTGTGTCATAGCATGGTCATCTGGAAGGTCGTCCGGACGATCATTCTGCTGTTTGGCCGTTCGGTCTATTTGCATATTACGCTTTTATTATTATAGACTAGGGGCCCGGTGGATGAAT